ATCTGACATCTGAGGTCGAAGACAGACTCAATGCTCTGCAATAGTTAGGTGCAATAAAACTTCCCCATGTACCCACCAAAAAATGAGTGAAAGAAACCACCAGAGTGATTGCCTTTACTAATGTAAATAATGTAAGATGTGGCCATGGATTCTTCTGAACAACCTATAGTTCCAAGACAACTCACTTGTACTCATGTGTGAAGCTTTGAAACATAACACTGAGTGCTTCCATAAATGCCACAGAAAGTGTAGCTGCTGATGCCACTGGAGATGGTGATGCTTCCTATAATAAAAAAAACGGAGAAAATGAGAAACAGAAGTGAAAGTTATATGTAAAAAACTGTTAAACAGGATATTCTGTTTCAGTTTTAATCTTTTTTTTTTCCCTGAATATAGAACCCTAGCCTTCTAGACACTGCAACATAGAAAGAAACAGTAAAGGATAAGTAGAAGATGCCATCATTTGGCATCACTATAAAGTACATTTATATTGTGCAGAAATCTAAATTATGCTAAATAAACATTTTTTAGAAGGCTGGAACAAGAGAAATACTAGGTTTGAAAAAAAAAAAATTGAGAAAGAAAATTCACATTTTCTTGTAATAAAAAAGTTACCTTAAATGCATCAGGAAGAACCTCGGCAACAACCATCCATATCATGCATCCAGCAGCAAACCCCGTGCAGAAAGGCAGGAACTTGTTAAATGCATCAGCACATATAAATGCAGGAACTGCAACAATGGGCTGCAATAAATTGAAATAAATAAATTGTTTCAGAAAAAAAATGATGAAATGAATAAACTATGATCAAGGAATTTTAGTTTACCCAGGCCTAGAGTCAAATAAGAGCAAAACATCAATTTTTTTGAACTCCCATAAATTTTAACTTTAAAATCTACTGCTATTCATCCTCTCTTTTCAAGAAAATGAAAAAGGCAGCAAAATGCAATAGTTTAGGATTCTAATCACAATTCATAATTACACTAGAAAGCATCATACAATATACAGAGAGGCCAAGACATTCTTTGATTCTTGTCATCTTGAATTCTTGATATAGCATTAAAAATGTTCAGCCAGATATTTTGACTTTTCTTATTCTCTTTTAGCTTTCATTATAGGTGGTTGCAAGGCAGGAAGCTTCCAACATTTTCAAACTGATCTCAGAATGCATTACCTGGAAAAACATACTCAAAAGATCAAAATAGTTGATGTAATAATATATTACCTGGGGCAAGGATGTAATTACACTCCATAGCATTGCATTCTGTGGAGACACACCTCGAGAGGCAAGCACCATACTCACAGCTAATCCCTCTGGTATGTTGTGCACAGCTATAGCAAGAGTTACCAAAAGACCTTGTGTAAAACCTTTTGAGCCAGCAAAGGAAACTCCAACACCAGAGCCCTCCCCAAATGAATGAAGAGTCATAATTCCAACAACAAGAACAACCTTAGTTGCATCTGCTCCGTTTATGTCCAGCATACTTACTTCCCCATATTGCTCAAGGAACTGAAACCCAGCAGAAATGATGCAAATATTAGGTGTTAACATCTCTAAAATCATCACCAATAAATTCGATCAGACCCTGAGTACACAGGTTTGAAAAAAAAAACTAATGCATTCATGTCTATGATCAAATTTTCTAATGTGAGATGAGATATCAAGAAAGTAAACATGGAAGCACCACTATTCTTGTTACCTACAAGCAGAAGTTCAGAAAACCCTCTTTGACTTGAATGTTAGAGAGAGCACACAATTAGCATGAATGTATGATTACTTTGTACCTTCAAGATTTACAAAAAAAAAAAAAAGCAATATTGTCATGGAAAAGAACAGTCATCACCTTCTTACAAAGCAAAATGAAAATGCCACCAGCTAAAATCCCAATCACAACCCAATTTCCAGCACCATGTTCCTGCCCTTCCTGTATGAGATCAAAACTTGCAGCCAACATCACACCAGCAGCCATTCCGTTGCATATGCCAGCCCAATGAGGATCAAGCTCCACAAAGAAGAATGGAACTGCACCCAACCCAGTTGCAGCAGCCATTGCCAGCGTAAATAGCGCAACAGTGGACACAGTAACTCTGTTGTAACTCCCCTTCCTCTCACCAGTCCCACTGTTTGTTTCCTCAGAACTTATTTGCTTCTCTGTACCTGTACCATCTATAACATTGT